AAGTAGCAACGAAAATAATGTTATGGTTGGGGGACACCACAACATGAGGAACTGTATTAAATGGTCGCGGCATGAGGAAGGTTGAGAACCACTGTCCTAGAGCAATAGTTCCAGGGGTAAATCCATTGTTTACAGTCCATAGAATTTGAAATTCTGCTCTGCTGTATTCCCATTTGACAAGGATTCTTCTATGGCATCTTTGATAAAAATGTTCAGTAATGATAGCCATGGCACAGAAGGCAGTTAAGTTGTTCCAAGAGGCAATTAGTCACACATCCCTAGTCTCCTCCTACTTTTGATTTTCCTTCTTCCTCTGTTGTTCTAGGTGAAAAGAAATCAATTTTCATATAAATTGATCGAATTCTGCCTCAGCCACGTGACTGGAGTAAACGCAGTAATCCTAACTCTCTTGTAAACTGCATAAATAACTAGTATTCATTTTTTTAAAAAACAAAACCCTTGTCCACCTTGCTAAATCATGTTAACGATAGGACTTTGTCCTATCTTCACGTTATAAAAATATCGCTGGGAAAAGAAACACATGACTCATCATAGAAAGGCAAAATACAGTCATGTAGGAGATACGAAGATTGGGAGAAGATAGTTAAATTCACTGCGATGAGGGCAAAGAGGCTGAAAGTCATAGGTAAGCAATATAACGGGGCAGTAAGTAGACTGCAAAGATACAAGATAATAATCGACAGGACTTAGGGACTAGATCCAGAGTCAGGGGTTCTGGGTGACAAGGAGGATTGTGGTACTATTAAAAGGCTTATAACTCAGCTTAAAAACAACCCCCCCCAAATAACAGCATTGGGAACTTGAGGAAAAATAGATCAGAGGGAAGACCTTAGTTTTAAACTGTTTAGAAATTGTCCTTCTGCAGCATTAATTAAAATGTTACATTTTCCTCCCAATAGCAAAAATATTGCACAACCACTGAAAAATATCTAAAGGCTTTGTGATTTGGGAAAATATAAGGTCACCATGAAAATATAAGGTCACATTTTTATATCACTTACAGTATATACATTAAAAACAAAGACAAAAATACCTGCTAGTTAAGAGGAAAACATCCCAGACGGCAGAAACCTAAAATGCTAAGTGACTGAATCTCTGGAATGATTTTTTTTTTCTGTCTTAGATATACTAAATGAATATGCTTCTTTCACAACAACAAACTTTATTATTTAAAATAAAAAGAGCCACCCAATCACTGACTTATCTTATTTAGTGGTAGGAACCCTAACTCCCCTGCAAACTGAATCTTTCAACAATTTTCTTAACTTCACTCAAAGACTAGCTTGTAAGATAATGCTTCTCAATAGGTGAGTGTCCCGGGAGGGTCTGTCAGAATCATCTGGAGGAATGCTCTAATGGTGAGGGCTATACCCATTGCTCTTCTAGCCCCATTGCTTTTTCCTGCCAACTGCTCTCATGAAATGGATGCAATAAGACAACAGTTCCTGTAGACAGGAAACAGAAAAGTCTACTTATGCTTCATTAACAGCTCACAGAGAACTGTGAGGAACAGCTTTTTCAGAAGCAATTTTGTTCACATAGTCTTCAAAGAATATTCTATTAAAAAAAAAAAAGAATATTCTATTACATAAATAGTGCTATTTGAGATGACGGCAAAATATTCAGGTGGTAATGTAAGTGATAAGCTGGGGTTCAAAACCAGACCAGATTGACTAAAAAAAATCAACAAAACAAAAAAAAAATAGTAAAAACCCCAAAACAACAAGCAACAATCACACACACACACACAGACATCTTTTAAACTATAGTACACAAAGCTATTTCTCTCTCATTATCAAATACCTACAAGTATCTCAAATTCAAATGAACAAACATAATGTTAACTTTTTCCAAAAGATCAAATTCTGATCTTTTGAGTCTTCAAACGAAGACTCGCTTTCTGCTGGGGTTCTATTTCCCACGTGCTACACTGACTGCACTGACTGGAGGTGCTCCCAAAGGGCATGCAAGATACATGTGGACCTCACTCAATGTGATTTCCCTTCTTTCAAGAGTCATCTAACCTCCGATTTTTGACTTGGGCTTATAAGAGGGGACTTCAAAATGTTCATGGAAAAATGGAACTAAACAATAAGGAATTTTCCCCTTAAATTAAAAAGAACTCCTCTGGTGCCCAGCTATCAAAAGATATAGCATCTGGGGTCTTAAAGGCTTGAAGATAAACAAGCAACCATCTAGCTCAGAAATAACAAAGCCCACATGGAAGAAGCACACTAGCCTGTGTGACCACGAGGTGTCGAAGGGGTCAGGTATCAGCCATCGAAGAACAAAAAAATAGTATCACTGTAAATCAGGGTGAGTACAGAGTGGAGACTCAAAGTCCATCGGTAGGCAACTGGACACTCCCTTACTGAAGGGTTGTGGGGAGGAGATGAGGCAGTCAGGGTGCAGGGTAGCAACAATGAAACATATAACTTTCCTCTAGTTCTTAAATGCTTCCTTCCCTCTCTACGATCATGATCCCAATTCTACCTTACAGATCTGGCTATACCAGAGGATGTACACTGGTACAGATAGGAACTGGAAACACAGGGAATCCAGGACAGATGACTCCTTCAGGACCAGTGGTGAGAGTGGCGATGCCTGGAGGGTGGAGGGAATGTGGGGTGGAAAGGGGGAACCAATTACAAGAATCTACGTATAACCTGCTCCCTGGGGGATGAGCAACAGAGAAGGGGGCGAGGGGAGACGTCGGACAGTAAAAGATATGACAAAATAATAATTTATGAACTATGAAGGGGTCTAGAGGGAGGAGGGAGTGGGAAGGGAGGGGGGAAATGAGGAGCTGATATTAAGGGCTCAAGTAGAAGGCAAATGTTTTGAGAATGATGATGGCAACAAATGTACAAATGTGCTTGATACAATGGATTGATTGTGATAAGAATTGTACGAACCCCCAATAAAATGATTTAAAAAGCAAAACAAAGTAACTCCTTATAATTAAAATTGACAGGAATATAGTTCAATATAAGATACTCTACTCTTTCCAGAACTGAAAGTCAATTTTCTTTGTTTTTTAATTCATTTTATTGGAAGCTCGTACAACTCATCACAATCCATATATCCATCCATTGTATCAAGCACATTTGTACATTGGTTGCCATCATCATTTTCAATACGTTTAAAACTAAATTTTCTTGAACTCTGTTCAATTCTTTTCCCTCTATGAAATGAATGACAGGCTAAATGGAAATTTGATTTGGAAGCTAAATGCCTGCTACTTCATATGTTTCAATCCCACCTAAAATAGCTGGCCACAAAGCACAGAACCCCTACTGAAATTAACCACACAGCTCAATAGCAAACTATGTAAGTCCGAATCTTAGGACTTAATAGTTTGTGACCTTAGACAAACTTGGCCATAGCCTTTCTCAGGTATAAAATGGGAGAAATAGTACAATTTATTTCCCGGGGTTATACGGGGAACACGCAGTAAGAATTCAATGCCTGCCACTGCCAGCAATCTCCTATTCACTAGTCAGTCAGCTGTTCCTTGTCATGGCAGCTTTACATGTGGGGACTCCCAAAAGGCACCGCCTTAACTGCCGGCAATTCCCAGGCTGCTGCCAGTGCTTGCTTTTCAAGACTCTGAAGGCGGCTTGTGCAGCAGATTTACCCAGTCACAACTCATCTTGTGACTGCTGCAGGAAGACAAAATCCCTGACAATTTTAAGTTTTCTCCATTTATCAGGATGGTCCAGCTGTGAGGGTTGGGTCTTCTTTACACTGATTGGTAATCTGAAGCTGCAGTCCTCGATCTTCATCAGCACCTGCTTCAAGTCCTCCTTGCTTTCAGCGAGCACGGCTGTGTCATCTCCATATTGCCGGTTGTTGGTAGGCTTTCCTCTAATACTGATGTCACAAATATAGTTGCCTTTTATGTTACCGAAAAAAGGTATTTGCTATGAACAAATCATTGGTCTTGCAAAATTGATCTCCAGCTTCATTTTCCCCCCAATTACTGTTCCTTCCTTTTTGTTCCCAACTTATACATTCCAATAGTGAGTAATTATCAATGTAATTATCAATGCTCTTGATTGCATGTTTGACCAATTTCACACTGAAGTCCTTAGTAAAATTCTTCAATTTTTTCATCACTAGATTTGGTGATTGGTGCATAAATATGAGTAATGGTTGTATTGACTGGATTTCCTTGTATGTAGAAAGATATTATCCTATCACCGACAGCATTGTATTTTATGATAGATTCTGTAAATGTCCTTTTTGACAATGAATGCCACACCATTCCTCTTTATGTTATTTCTCACATAGTAAATCATATCATTTTCTGATTCAAAATGCCCAATACCAGTCCAATTCGGCTCTTTAATGCCTACAATACTGATCTTCTTGCATTCTATTTCATTTGTGATGACTTTCAATTTTCCTACATTCATACTTTGCACATTCCAAGTTCCAATCGTGAGATTTTTACAGCTGTTTCTCTTACCTCGAGTCATGAAGATCCTGAAGGTTTCACCCCCACGAGCATTACCTGACTCACTGCACCGTGGTTGACACCACTCCAAGAAATCAACTCCTCCTCAGTCACATTTTGAGTGTCCTCTGGCCCAGCGGCCCATTCTCTGGCACCATCTCCAACAATGTTTTGCTTCCATTCGTTAGGCTTGTAGTGTCTGACATGCTTTAAAGCTATGCATAAGGTTTTAGCAGCCACTTCCTCTGAAGTGGGGATCCACGTCCTTCTTCATTGTCTGTTCTTAAGTCTAGGAGCTCCGCTGAAACCTGCTCACTGTGGGTGACCCTGGCGGCATTTGAAATACCAGTGACATAGCTTCTAGAATCACATCAACACACAAGCTACTACAATACAACAAATTGACAGACAAGTGGCGCCAATGTTTAGGCACTGATAAACTCACCTTTCCGGAGGGTTTACTGAGAGTTGGAAGTAGTTCTTTGCCATTTCTAGCCTTCCTTGGTACTGAGCAGAGCCTTCTATCTGTCCCTTAAGAAAACAATAATAGTCTGTCAGAGCATTATTTACATGGTGTCATTACACTAAATTGCTCAGCAGCAATTTTCAGGAAGATAATGAATAAGTTGTTGCTCAGGAATCACAAGGCTTGTCTCTTAGTGTCCCTATTTTGACTTAAGACCAGTTGTTTTCAGGTGAGAGAACTAGATTTCTTGCCAGTTTCTAGTCCTTTTGTCCCAATTCTTTTCAATTTGGAATGTTTATGACCATTTTAGAAACTAATTAGTTAGTTATAACTAAAATATATAGTTACTTGGTAATAAAGTTATAAAACAGAGCATTATAAAAGTTTTCTAAGTAGAATCGAGCAGTAGCATGACTTCACCTTAACTATTATTTCTATCCATGTTTATAATGATAGTCACACTTAATATTTCCTATTCTTTCAGAAATACTATCATAGACACTTTTCATATTGCTATAAAGTCTTTGCAATCACCATACTTTTATGACTTCTTCACTTCTAAGGTATCTTCTTAAAATATATTATTCAGAGTGAATTTTTGAGTGATAGTGTGAAAAAAATATTTTGAACCTTTCTATGCTATCGGAACACACTATCAAATTATTTCCCAATTATTTAAAAAGAAAATTATTTCCCATTAAGAGTCCACCACTTTGCAATGCTAAAACAATGTACAGGAATATAAACTTTACCATATACTCAACATGGCATGTCATTCATATCTTTTTATATATGTTAATTTTTTTTCCATTTTTGTCTTTACTCTTAGAATGAGTATTTTAAGAGAAGTCTACTAGCTTTTTATAATCTATTGAGTGACTTCCTGTTTGTCTTACTCTTTTGTGCAACCTGCTCACCAGACGTAAGCATTAACTTTTAACATTCAGTACACACCGCATTAGTTTTTCTAAAATACCGAAAACGGCTCTGAGACTCATTACCAGCTTCAAAGACCCTAAGCTGAGTACGACTGAGCCATCTTCTATGGCTGGTTATACATTCGCTACTGATCACAGGATTTTAAATCACCAGCTTGATTTCCCCCAAAATGTATACTTAAAAAGTAAACATCTCAATTCCTACCTTAAAGTAATCGTTTTTTTCCAGACTTTCCAGGAAGGCAGGCCACAGAGGTGAAGTAGGACCAAGAGAGTTCTTGGGGCTGGAAAAATGCGGACTGCTTTTGGCGCACAAGATCTCAAATCCATGAGCCTGAATGACATGGTTGTGGAATTTTAATTAGTCAATTTTATTTTTTCATTTACTCCCTCTTAAGAACTAGGTGGCTAAACACATGGGCATGTGAACATTTATATAACTTGTTCAGATCTGTTGAAAAATCTGTATTTATTTTCAAGTTTTTAGATATCTGTAATTACCAAAAGCTTTAAAAGGAAAGAAAATAGTACAAAATAATATTTTTTCCCTTCAAAGGGATTTTTCTCTTGCCCATTATAAAATAGTCAATTTAAACTTATTCTTATTTGCTTAAGAAAAGGCTCGCAAAAGGTTTCTTGTTTAACATAGATTATATATAATTTGAGCATGGTCTGACACAGTAGTGACAGAAAGTCCCTTTGTTTTCTGAGTCCTTTGATTAAAAACAAAGATTTAAAAGTGAGTAATTAATGCACATAGAAAAACAACGGAAACAGGAAGCTTCCATGATCATTCCAGAACAACCTACTGCTACTCATGTCTTCCATGTCTCTTCAGAAGTAACCAACCTACGGACACACAGATGACTAACAGTGTGTGTCTGTCTGTGTAGCCTCATAAACACAAGCAAACACAACTTACTGCCATTGAGTCATCCTGACTCAGTGACCCGACAGGACAGAAGACAGTGCCCTGTGGGTTTCCAAGACTGCAACTGTTCACGGGAGTAAAAAGCCTCATCTTTCAACTGGGGAGCAGCTGGTGGTTTCAAACTGTTGACCTTGCAGATCGCAGCCCAACATGTAACCACTAGGCCACCAGGGTCTTCCATATATCCTCTTACTTCACCCTCTTGACACTAAATTGCACCATATCCACTGTCGGTATCTTTTATTTTTTCACTTAACCATACACCTTAAGAGATTATTTTATGAGAACACACAAATTTATCCATATCACTTCATGGATAGGCCACACATTTTATTTAATGATTCCCTTACTAATGGACATTTAAGTAGTTTCCAATTTCTTTGCTACTACTACAAGCAATGCTGTGAGAAGGATCATATATGCATCTTTGAGCACACATAAAATACACGTGGACAAATTTTTAGAAGCAAAAATGTTAAGCAGGGCAGTTTTTGTATTTCAAATGTTGATAGAGATTGCCAATGTAGTGTTGATTAAATCCATTTATATAACTACCATCAATATTTGAAAGTATTACTATCAGTGGTATTTCTTTGTTATACTCATCATATTAACTAAACATATTGTCAAACTTCTTGATTATTTTCCAATCTAATGTTGAAAACTACTATCTTGTAGCCTTGAGTAGCATTTCTTTCTTATATTATGAGCAAGGTTCAACATATTTCATAGGTTCAAATAAAAGTCCATTGTATTTTCTTTTCTGGCTCATGTGTTCATGGCTTGTAAATATTTTGTTATTACTTGGCTGCCATTTTTTTCATATTGACTCAGGAAGTTCTACATAATTAATAGGGAAACCAGCTCTTTTTATTGCAATGCTAGTAGAACATTGTCTCGGGTCTACTCTATGTCATTCTGTCCTTAAGCTTTTCTTTCCCATATTAGTAAGGCCTGGTGATCTATTTCTGAAAAATCAGTCATTATCACCACCAGTTGGAAATGGTCAACGGTGACTAATTTAATTTCTCTGGCAGAAATAATTTTCTTGTCAAATTTTTAATATCTCTTCATAGCTTCTGGTTTTAATTCATACTTGGAAAGTTGTTTCCTATAGGTTATAAGTTTTGCATTTTTTTCCAACTTTTATGGTTTCGATTTTTATATTTAAAGATCTAATTTAACGAATTTATTCTGGCATAAGGTATGAGCTTGTCAGCTCTAACTTTTCAGATGGTTTCCCAGTTGCCCTATTTCATTTACAGAATACTCAACTGTTTTCTTCTGCTTTGAAAGGCTGTGTTTATTACATTCGCTTACAAATTGGGCATATTCCTAGACTTGCTATGCTGTGCCACTGGTTTGTTAAGAAGATTTTTACATAAAAAAGAAAATACACTTTTTAGTTCAGCATTACCAACTTCATGCCCAACTCATGGGCTCGGAACTGGGGATGAGATGGGGGAGGCAGCTGGTATCCACTTCGCCGGTCTGGCACAAACTTCTGTTGGGACAACTGTGCATACAGGCACTTAGTGAAGGTGACCTGGGCATTAGAATAGGAAACACATGTGTTGTCATGAAAAGAACATCTAAACATTCTTTCACAGTTAAATGTAGCAATAACTCCATTTAGTACTTTATGACAAAGAGTGCCAAGATTAACTGAAACTATTCACAGCCTATTTTTTTACTTTTTCTTTTCAACAGCTTTCTTGAGATATAAACACTATAAAATTCACCCTCCTTGCCTAAATTTTATTTACCACTAATGGAGTTCTGAACATTAGTTACATTATATGGCACTTTGGGGAAAAGAATAATTCTTAAATTTTCTATAAGATATTAAATGTTTTATTAAATGGAAAACAATTCAAATAGGGAAAGTATAGTTAAAGATAACTAAGAAATTTGAGGTACAAAATAGGGAGTCAGGTCTTCTGGGAGGGATAAAATAAAAAGTTTAAAAGCTACTTGCCATGAGCAAGCAGAGTATAATTCTCCAATTAGAGAAACTAAGTGACCAAGAAAGCTATCTTACAGATGTCATTATTCGTGAATCAGGTAAGAATGTTCTGAAAGTCCGACAGGCTCGCAGGTCGACGGGGTCCCGCAAGTAAAATGCCTGCACTGCTGCAGCCACCAGTCTGGGCTGCTGCTTTAGCACTGCCACGATGCCGGCTGGAAGGAAGCAATGGGCTCGATGAAGGCACGCTCGAATTTTCTCTGGGTACCTGTAACAGACAAGATTATTGCCCTTTTTTTATTATGCACCTATGAGAAAATCTAGACTTTTATACCAGTCACCGATCCCGTAACATCTTATCATGTTTTGTCTCCAGGGAGTAACAAGAGACGTGAAGATAAAGACACCATATGTAACTAAGACCACAAGAACGAAGAAAGGAAAGAAAAAAGGAGTCGAAGAGGAACATAAAGAAAAGGAACTGACTACATCTATGTGAAGAGACGACGGAGGAGTTCAAATATGAGCAATTAAAATCAAGCCAAGGGCTGACTGTGGAACTGACTACCAATTGCTCACACGTCCATTTAGGTTGAAAGGGAAACAAATTAAAACAAGTTCATGGCAGCCAAAGTACAACCATGAGTCTATTCCACGTGCATTTTGAGAATATCTCAAGAACATTAGCTGCATTAAAAACCAATGACAGCTCTTCTAACAAAACTAATGCCAGAAGACCCGATGAGCTGTTGGAGGCCATCAAGACCATCGTTCATGAAGAAAGCAAGAAGGTCATTAAAAAGACAGGAAAGAAAGACAAGCTCAGAGTGGGTGTCAGGAGAGACTCTGACACTTACTCTTAATTATAAAATAGCAAAGGCAAATGGAAGAAAGGGCTGAACAGAACAATTGTAAAGTGCAGCTCCAGAAGACAAAGTAAAATATAAGGACGTGTACACAGACCTAGAGTAGAAAACCGGAAAGGAAGAACATGCTCAGCATATCTTAA